GAAGCCCGCGGCCACCGAGGAAGGCTCTCGCCTTTTTTATTTTCGACTCGTTCTGTGGTCGAGACGGCCGCGTCCCCCGCCCTGCGGAAGAGGCTGCCCCGCCCCCGGGCCGGGCCGAGGCAGCTCGGCTGCGGCCCGCCCGTCCTCGCAGCCGCCTTTCCTGCCCCCTCGGACTTTCGGAGCGAGAACCGGCAGGCCAGGGACAGCGCTTTCAGGGTAACGTTAAAGGCGCAGTCGAGCTTCCCCTGGAAAGCCAGAAGGCGAAGGAAGGAAAAAAATAATAAAATTACCCCGAAGAGTACCTCGAGTCTTCAGGCGTCCCAGGGCTTTTCAACCTCTCTTCCGAGGTGCCGAGAAGATAGGAGGGAAAGGAAGGGAAGGAGTGGCCGAGTCGCGGTGTTCAGACCCATGTGGTGAGCCAGCGACAGCTCACACCTGAGGCGGTCACCGCCGGCCGGTGGGCCGTCCCCCCCTCCCCTGTCTGGCCTAGCTCCTAACTGCGGCCCACTGCTCCCGTTCCCTTTCTCGATCTCCCTTGACACGGAGAAACGCTTCTGTCACCTTCACTCTCTTCCTCGTATACAGAGCAAAACTATTTTCTTCAGTGCCTCGTACATTCGTGTGCAGGAAGGCAAGGCTAAGGAAGGTAGTCAACACCAGAGGCATCATTGCAGGCCTTCTCATACTCTTTACAATTCCTTCACCCGCTGCAGGGCTTGGACTTTGGGGACTTCCTTATTCCCCCTGCATCAGGAACGAGTGCTGCTCACGAGGACAGCAGCAAACCTACCGAGTGCTCCGCTACAGGGAGGAAGGAACTGTTGAGCAATTAAATGATGTGAGCTTAGTGCTTCTCTTTTGTGATAATTCGCCACTAGGTCAAGGCCAACAACCAAAACCATGCTAGAATCAATATGGCATAAATGCACAGTTCCCCTCACCCACACCCATCTGAAGTAAGAGAAAGCAGATAGACACCAGCGTGTCACCCACCCGCTGGTTGCATTATCAAGACTTCTTCCCATCCCCTACATGCAGTCGTTCAAAGAAATGTAAAAAAAAAAAGGGGGGGGGTTGGTGGTGTTGCAGGCCCCCTCAAGCTTGCTCGTGGCTTCTTAGAAATGGAAGTAAAATTGAATTGACTGGTAAAGCTGAAAGAAGATGCTAGAAGAAGAATCAGCTAAATTTTAGGGAGGATCCAAGTGAGGAAGGGGAGCTAGGAAAGGTCATTGGATTATCAGGTGGTAGAAAGAACTATAAGAGATCCTTTCTCCAACTCAGAAGTAGTTATCTTACAGAGCACTGAGTCACATCTTCAGAAAGTCCAGAGCCAAGGCAGAAAGCTCCAGTGTGCTGCTTCTGTAAGAGATGGGAAGACAGAGGGTAAAATAGTAACTGCTAAGATTCAGCAGGGGAAATGGGAAATTCAGCAGCTTTATTATGTAAGGACTGTGGAATTAGGAAGGGCATTCATCAGTAAAATAAGGTTCTCTTGCAATTTAAAATAGTCTTGTAAAATGGTTAGTGTTAGCAGTTCACAGAACAGTTGAATTGACTGCGTTCACTGTTAGCACAGAGATAGTTCAAACAACCTATGTCCCATTTATTTGCCTTTGACATTATCTCAGTTCTGTGTGCTTCACTGTGTTGCCAAGAAAATTAGGGTAAAAATCTCATCCATCACAGTAACATTAACTGTGATTTCCAGAAACCTCCCTGCATAAATAGAAATTTATTCCATTGAAAAGTTGTATTTGATGATAATGATAACGCAGAGCAGATACAGTGGAACTGGTGAATACCTTGGTCATGCCATTTTCCACCAACTACTCCTCATAACGGATCGCTCATTAATTTCAGGAAATGTTTTGTAGTGGTCAGAGGAAAAAGCCTTGACAAACCATACATGAACATCGGCCTGCACAAGTTCACTAAAAAGTCAGATTTTCCATTTTCATTCCGGCAGTATTATTACACCCTTTTACTGCTGAAGTTACTGTCCTTTAAAAGTCTTCTAATTTGCCCTAGCACTTAGTTAAAGTCGGAATTATCACGTGGTTTTGATAATTATGAGGTTGAGAGAGAAAGGGGGGTGCAGGGAAAAAAGCCCACAGAAGCTACTGAGAGAATTTAAACTTCAAATAAATCAGTAGCTGGACCTAAAAGAGAAAGTAGAAATATTTTAGGGAAAACCTTTATAACATTTTCGAGATCAATTAGAAGAAGAATAAATTAGGCTGGAACTATTCAGGTATCAAAATTGGAGTGGATTAGACTGAATCAGCGATTTAACTTTACTCATCATGTCTCCACAGCATTTTCTCCATCTCCCCAGCTCCCTCCACTGTTACCAAGTGGCTATTGCACCTGTCTACTCTAGCTCCGCTAAATCAACCTCTGACAGAAGTCTGTGGGATAATGGGAGCCACTCACACACTGGCAGTATCTAAAATTAATATTACTAAAACATAAGACATTAGTAAGGATTACAGTAAGCCTGTTACTAATTTATTCCTGCCACACTCATTTAGAAATATCTGTATACCATAGACTGTATCATTCAATACAGTATATCCTTCCTTTATGTCTTACATTAAAAAGGAAAACGTCCACACAAGTAAAAAGATGGCAGGAGACTTTTCTAACAGCTTTCTTCTAGCCTAATTGGAATCTACAGTAGTCTGTTCCTGGCATCTTTGTTACGCAAATCTTTTACCGCAGAAAAAACCTCTGGTTTACTGCTGACCTTCATTTTGGCTGGGGTAGCAGTGACATCCAGCGGTTCAGAGAGAAAAAGAGATCTGCTCATTCTTTTCTTCCTACCGTGCATCACAGGCAACGCATCAGAAAATGGCAGGGATCCCTTGGCATTACCTTCTCTTCGTGGATATTCGCAAACGGCACCAACTGCAGGCAGTGGGAATGGATAACCCACACGGGGAAACAAAAATGCAGAACAGGAAATAAACAGAAAACACCTTCTGCGGCAGACCATCTTTCTAATGGTTTTAAAAGGACACCACAGATAGGAAATGTAATCAGTATTTTTAAAAGTTCAAGTAAAAAGCACCTTCCTATATTACACCTACCCCATTGACTTCACAGCATTTTCCTTCTTAAAATTTATTAACCCTGCTTTTGTGCTGAAAAAAAAGATGAACAGGCTTACAAACAAGGGAGAATTGACTGAAGAGAAATTACTATAGGTGAGTTTTGTTTCTCAAGCCCAGAACAAACAAACTTTCAATTATTAAGAGTCTCCAGTAACTAGCTGAGTGTTGAACCGTGATGTGATATTCAAGGCACTGAGAAGTGATTTAGATTTTGTGTACATGTTGTGTTAAAAGAAAAAAAAAATCAAAACATTAAATGCATATAAGGAACTGGGCCAGCAGAGGTAGCTGTTGATACAACAAAATCAACAACTATGAAATTTTTTTTAAAAATGAACATTCTACATTCAAAGAAGAAAACATTTTTTATAAAAGTCAGACCTTGCAATCTCCAACATTGGAAATTCACTTCGAATTCATTTGTTCCTCCTTTACTATTTTGCTGTCATTTTTACTTCTTCAAGACTGCCCATTTCCAATTCCGATTAGCTGTTCCTAGCTCCTAGGCACCACGTATTTTCTGTCCTCTCCATTTGTATTTTGTCAACATGGAGTTCAGAATGGATGAGTCAACTCCAAATAAACCCAAGGTTGGCCTAAAAAAAGATCAATTTTATCAATAATAATTCTTCAGAACATTTTCAAATACCATTTGGACATTTTATGGCTCCAGATTTTGATTTGATCTCTGAAAGACAGGGTTAGAAAACTTTGAAATGTGTGTAAGCTTACATAGCTTTCGACTCAAAAAGTACACTGTCCCGCTAGCTGTTTACGGGAACTGTCACTGTTAACAGTAGGAAAACACTCTCCCAGACCTAGGTCTGACATGGTTACCGTATATATGCCTTTGCTGAAGCTGACAAGAGCAGAGAACTTTCAGTCTTCATGAGTATTTTAATAAACACCCTCAAAAGGACTTCATGGGTCTTTCTAAAAATGTTTCTACACTAAAGGACCATTTCATCATGTTGTAGCATTAGTGATTTGTATGTTTAACAGCCCTTGTACTCCAGCTAAACATTCTAAATGCTGAACATGACGGCTTCCTGCTTCCGTTTCCAAGATCACAAAACAGTCCCTTTGGGTGGGCTAACAGCAGGGCTGCAATGCTGTGCCATCCTCCTCATCATCTAGGACTTCCTGCAGTCTGACAAAAGAACCAGCGGCCAGATCTGACAGAGTGGGTGAAATTCAATTGCACATACACAGAATTGTTAAGTAGATGCTCTCCAGATTTAGCAGGTTCTAATAGGACTTCACTTTATCTTAAATATCTTGGAATTTATTTGGGTTCCATCCCATTCTCCAAGGACTGTTTATGCCTTTCACATTTCATGTTTATACGAAATGCTCAAACAGCCCTTGGAACAAGGCCTGAAATCCAGGTCTAAGATCAGCACCTTCTTTGCCTGTCTCTGCACAAGATCTGTTCTCTG